CCCCAAAACCCCAAAACCCCGCTAGTCATAATTTTTATTAAATAATTGAATGGAATAATTAAATATAAAACAGAATAAACATAATTTAATAGCTTTGAAATTAAAATCAAGATTTTATTTAGATCATTCTTTCAATCGAATAAGCCTGACTCATCTATAGGATACTAATGTAACGCTTTAGCTAATCCAACTGTGTTATTTTCTCTGTTAAATATAGAGTAGTAGTAAGACATAAATGTATCACCGACAATAAACATATCCTTGCTATAGTAAAATAAATAAAATTTTAATATATCTTACCATCCTCTGATTTCTATATCTAGCTAAGATATTGATGTTTAGCATTTATAGCTGAAAAATGAATTTTCATCTTTAGATCTCTATCAAAATTTTAATAAAGTTAATTATATTACCTCCATGAAATGGTTAGATGGTAAATCATATCTTACTCCATTAATCACAAATCTGCATTGAAATTAATAAATTAATTTATCTTACGTTAACTAGCCAAAGTCATTTATATCTCTACAATTTTTCTGATCTGGAATCAATTATTTTATCTTTTCAAAAGCACGCTTAGGAAATGTGATTGTTGAAGTTCCAGAATCTGGAGTGATTGAGCACTTTCTTTTCTTACAATAACCAATCGATTTATTGTTATACTAATAATGAATATTTATTGTCTAATAAACTTACTAAGACATCATCTAATTAAAGTTGCCAGAAAAATTAATTAATAACTGGATGCCAAACGATATTTCCAGTATATTTACTCTCGTCAATCCATCCAAAAATCAACTCAGATTGATCCTTTTTACTCACTGACATATAAAAAGCAAACACATTCATATGCAACAACTTTTAGTCAATTAATGAATCGAAAAATGGCTAGCCCACTTCTAAACTATTAGACATCTAAGGAAAAGCTAGTCCCACTATAGCTTCAAAGGTTTCATCGAAAACTACCTCGTCTTTGGCAAGCCCAAAAGCTTAGTTTTTTATTAGGACCACATCATGCTTACTAGTTCCATCCACTATGTAATAATAAGTTATTAGTAAAAATGAAGGCGAAACTGATTACATTATTCTTATTCTAAGCCAGTTCCTCCAATTCTTATGTCATCTTTCACAAATATTCCTGAAAGTTTTCCAGATCCAAATTCAACAGCGCAAGCTAAATCTGATACTTCTAAGGTAGATGATTGAGTAGAATCAAATGGTAGATTTTCCTTAATTATGTTTCTTGAGCTTTTGCAATCTTTGGAAAGTATCCAAATATTTGTGGAGCCAGTATCGAAAATTGCTCTTATTCTTTGAGGTTTGTTGCCCACGAATAAATCTCCGATGTAGTTATAATTTATGTAATTTTTTAGATTGATCTCCACTTCTTGCTTATTTGCTTTTTCTCTATCCTAAGCATTTGCAATTAATCTTTCTAAATAGCAAATGATTAAGATTCTAAAAGTATTGGAAAATGCATATATATTGTACCTGCATTGGTTTAAACCTATTGCAATCCTTAATTGTTTCTAGGCATCTTATTCAAAGTTATTCGCATATAGCCTTTATTTTATGATTCCACTTCTTCAAGCTAATCAATTTTATCTAACTTCTGATATGCTATCTGCGGTATGCTATTAAACTATGTGTCTAGTTATGTCAATTCACTAATGCCACATGGAATATTCTACATATCCAATTCAGATCTAGAGCATTACTATGACCAGTTTGTTGATTCTGATAGTTAGAAGAAGTTTTATATCAGAAAATATTGTAATAAGGATAATAATATTATTTTCATAATTTTAAACTCCTGCTTCTTATTCTAATTATTAATTATTGATCTATTATAATCTAAACAAGTAGCTTCAAGGGGTTTTGGGGTTTTGGGGTTTTGGG